GGACGACATTTGGTTTTTGGCGGCGGAAAGTGGGGGGGGGGGGTGTGGGTGTTCATTTTTGCACCCCTCACCTCTCCACAATGCAAAGTCTTGGAGACGTGCCTTACTCTCCTAGCAAGCTGGTCGATACAAGTGGGCTTTCTCCCAGATCTTTGCCCTCTAGTTTTACTTAATAAAGTGATCAGCAGCTGACATCACAGTTTGTGGGTTAAACCCACTTAATTCAACAGCAGGTCTTCCAGAGGCAGAGGGCCAGGCCTCCTGAACCACTAACATTTACAGCCCTAGATTTTCCTCGAGTAGAAAGCCTGTCAATACCAAATGTCATGATTCTAGAACCACAGTTCCCCTTTCTATAAACATTCTGCAGACTCCAAGTGCTGGCAGCATCACTCCGATTTGATGAGAATTCCTGAATATATAGCAGCATAACCTGTTCCTGCCAGATTCAGCTGAGATCTTGGGAGAGAAAGGGAAATGGAGGAACTCATTTTTTCTCATTATTCACGCAGCCTGTGTTAAGTCAAATTAGTGTCACTGAGCCACCAGCTTAAATATCGAGATGCCTAATTCTTGCATACTCTCTGACAGTGTAATATAGTCTTTTTATAAGTCAAGATAATACTCCAAGGTCATACAAGTCTACTTTTGGGCTGAAACTTATCCGCCTGTATTAGGTGATCATTCTGAATCCCACTGTCAACCTTAATACCTAACAGCCTCCAATATATTCCTCATTACAACACTCCTGCGGGGGTATAGATTCTCTTTTATTCCTCATTTGCAAATAATTGCTCAAGGAGTAAACACTCCTGCCCTCATGCAGGAGGTCTGGAGCAGTGTACAGTCTAGAAGAGCCAGTTTTTCAAAGTCCCAAGCTGGTGACCTAACTACCAGACCATCTTTTTTCAACTCCCCAATCTATCAGACTGATCTTCACCTTGCAGTACATTTGATTTGTGCAGTGATGCTGACTGATAGCAGCTGAACGTCTGGCTTGCCAGCTGGATTTGAGTGGACTAACAGTATCTGCTTGCTCCAACAAAGCCAGAACAATTCTACATGGTGCTGAGTGCATCATACAGTCCTCCTCTCCTAGAAGAAATGAGCGCACTGAGCACCTAGATGAAACATCAGTGCCTCATGCTTCCAGTTCATACCTTAAGCCAAACTGCAGCTTGGTCTGTGACACAAGTTTTCCAAATAAAAAAGGAAGAATTACTCAGATGACCAAGGCTTTTGGTATTTGAACCCCTCCCACTATTTAATGAAGTTCCCAATGACAAGCATGGCTGAAAGCAATGGAAACACTTAAAACCTCCTGCTGTGGATTTTATTATCGCTATTATTTTAATTTTTTTTTTTTTTTTTTTTTTACCATTTTGGAAGTCAGTTCCGTTTCTGGCTCCTTCTCTACAATAACCTGAGACTTGCTAATACTCCAGTCCTTCCGCTTGAGTTTGCTAATCCGGTTATCACCATCATCTTTCATGGGCAGTTCCTCAGCTCTGGAAGCTGTTGATATTCTTCTCTCCAAGAGAGGCTCCAGAATAGATCTGTGGCCCACACCAAAAGAGTGAAAAAACATGAAACATTAGTCCATCAGACATTCAAGGCACCATCTGTTAAAAAGCTGCGATCTCTTCATTTGCGTAAGGGACGACTGTGAAAAGCTGAGTTATGACCATAGAATTTTCAGTGGGATTTGTGCTCCTAAGTTACCCTAACAATTTTGAGTGTTACATCTTACATAGAAGATAAAGTGTGATCTATTTGCAGAGGGAGCCAGACCTGCATTTTATGCTGAACCCTGCCACTGAGTCTGCTGTGTGACCTTGAGCAAGTCACCTAGACTCCCTGGTTATCACAGATGCAAGCTAGATGTGCAGAGAAGTAACATCAGGAAATGTTTCCATGTGGGGTAGCTCCTTTTAATGCCATGTATGCAGCTGCATACAGGTAGGTGGAACAAGTAACATATGACTATGCACCTCTCTGCAGACCACATCAAACTAAATTACCTTGTAGTATCTTACACCTCTGTCTTCCAGCATTCCTGGGAACCAGAAATAGTGTGCATCTGACATACCCTGCCTGCACCCCTCTTCAGTATCATGTAGATAATTGGGACTCCAGAGACAGACAGTTGTGGGTTCAATTCCCAGAACTATCCCTAGCTGTGCTTCAAACTCCCTTATCTGTAAAATGGAACAACAACATTGGCCTCCATTTGAAGTTTTAAATGCATAGCTATTACTATCGTGTATGGAATAAACCTTCATTTTAAGAGTAACTAATTCCACCAAAGGCATATCCGTACTCTTGTAAATCACATGTAAAGGCTGATTACTAACCCATCTGAACCTGGTCTGGAGGAAGTGCTATCAGATGACGTGGAAGATGTAGAGACCACAGAAGACGCCACAGATGTGACAGAGAGCCGTCTCAGCGTGGAAGACATGATATAGGGCAACACGACAGAGCCTGACCTGCTCTGTTTCCTTTCAGTGAGGGAGGGAGGCTGCAGACAAACATGCTTGTGATAAATCATGTAACACTGACTCACAAGTGGGAAAGGGGAGAGTAGTGTTTCTTTAAGGCAAAACACTAATCAACGCTTACCAAAGTGATCACACCATACTGCTTCTCCACCTTCTTCTTCAGCTCTTTGAAACAGGCTGTCAGTCTGTCATGCAGAGGCTTCAGCTGTTCTGTCAGCTTCTCGCCATGGATCCTAATCCCTTCTGCCAACAACGGCATCTGAAAGGAGGAAAAAAATTAAGCTACAAAAGGACAAATCAGCTCTCCTGTTCCAGAAAGGAATTTTCTATGTATGTTACACATCTCAGTTACATTCAAAGGACTTAGATCGACAAATCTTGAGTTTGCAGAGGCAAAAAAAGGCAGTCATACGGTAAGGAAGCTCAGCTATTGACTCATAACTAGTGACACTGTAGTAACCTGATCGATTGTTTGAGCTCCATGTGTTCAAGAAACATAAACAATTTCCCCATCTATACCTATGGTTTCCTCTTCCCCACTCAGATTCTGTATTCTGGTTTGGAAAACACAACATGTTAAATGTTGGAGTATCACTTCTTAGCCCCCCCAAGCTGTATGATTGTGAGGTAGCTTTAACTGGGCTCTGCTGTGTGGAAACATGTAAAAACTGGTCCACAGGGATACAATTTGCATTACAAGAAAACAGGGCAATTTTTCATTGCTATGCAGATCAAAATAGATGACTTTCAATGGTCAGACTGACAAACATTAGGTCTGATGATTTCATGAACAGGTAACACATATTTTGTTACACCCATGAGGGAAAAAATCTATGACACATTGGCAAATAGTTCAAAATAACATTTCCGAGCAACACAAGGTACATGGAACAATCCAGGCCACAATTTTAGAATAGAGCAGTTTCCTTAAAATAAAAAACAATTGTACACATATTCAGATTGTTCTTTTAGCATTAATCTGCATTATCTCTCCAAAACAATGAAAAACATCTGCACTCACACAGCGCTTCCACTTCTTTCACAATACGATACCTGTAGAGCAATTAATTGCTTAAGCAGTTCAATTTTATCCTGATCTTCAGGATGTTCTTGAAGATACTTCTCTGTGAAAAAGGCCTGAAAGCAAAGACAGAAGATGATACAGACACTAAGCTGCCTTCACAGTTAACTGGGTGAAAGAGCCTCATACATTAAAATCAACTCATTGCCATTATTATTAAAAACAAATATATTAAAACTATATTTTGCCATCTCTCTGACACAAAGCTGGGGGACCAAGAACCATGGTTATTTGTTGAGAACTGGGAACAAAATAGACTTTTTTTGTTTTGAACAAAAAGTTACTATTTTTTCAGAGAAACACAGATACGTAAAAAAAGTTACTTCATCAGAAGGGTTTTCTTCAATTCCAATTCCCTTCTCGTAAAACAGTATACATTTGAATAACCGAGGCTACATTACTTGCTGCTCAAATGTGAGTAGCAGATCCAGTCTCCCGAGTTCTCACTTCAAAAAGTCTCTTCCATTTTAGCATCCAGTGACCTACAGTACACAATGCCATGCAAACAACCTCAGCTGCAGAAATGTGAACAGGGCATCTCCTGCCTGCAATCTCCTTAAGCTCTATGATTTAAGCCCTTAAGTACAACATTTCCACATGGGGCTTGTTATGAAGCTTCAGTAGAAATAAAGACTGTGGTGAGATTTTGACTCACAATTCGATTCAACAAAGCACCTTTAGTCTACCCTTCTGATGTGTTTACCTTTAATCAACAGAATCTGGTATCGGTTTAAAGTTGAACAAAGACAAGTACACTTTCCTGGCCTGAAGCCTTAAAATTATGCCAATTCCCGTTATGTGCTTTGCACAGTGTATTGCATTGAAACGTATCACAATTCCTGGAGAGAAGAATTTAATTTTTCTTCTTCCTAGATAAAATCCCTAATAATTTTTCATTTTGTTTTAAAACGCGTCTCTGATCTGTTTCAGCCTCCGCATATATTTTTTAGTTCTGCGTTCCATTAACTGGACTGTATGTACAAGTGTTTATAGGCCTAGTGGTATGATTCTGAAAAAGGCTGATGTCAAGAGGAGGTTAGCCTGTGAAAGGACTGCTGGGTAGGTCCCAGCGGATTTTTCATGAAAGTGTTTAATTATTGCAAGAAGAAAGCTCATGTTAAAAAACGCAGACTTCGGCTTTTGGCTACAATGAAACAATTAAAACTCAAGATTTTAGCCGCCCACAAAAGCCAAATGTTCTGTACTGATCTTCAGTTGAAATAGGAAAATATGAACCAGGAATGAGTATTTCCAGATGTGGTTACAGATACTTTGTGTTTCCTAGTTTTAACTGCTTTCCCACTTTCGTAATTCTAAACTTTATGTCAACCTTAATTCATAAAATGGGAGGATTTAGGGCCAAATTCAGCCCTAGAAAAGTATGCAACTCCTCTGGAATCAGCAGAGTTAGACCCCAGATAATCAGACCCTCTCCCATTTAACTTTTGCACTTCATTGCATGTGACTGGAACACATATGAGAAGAATTAGATGTGTTTTTACACCATCCATTCAGCTTATGGAAATAAGCAATGTATTTTGTGCTAGGAATACCGTCATTAGATACCAGGAATAAACAGCTTAAGTTAAACATAAGTGATAGGGAAGAACGCACAGTGTTCAACTAAAGTCAACAGAATAAACCTGGATAGGAAATACTGCTTTTTTCCTGAAAAGAATTTGGAGTCTTGCTCTTTTCTGCAAGACTCCAAAGACAGATTATCTGCTGGAAAGAGAAATCCTCATTTGCCTTACCATTCTATATTAATACAACGAAGAAACGCTAGCTCTTTTTTTTTTTTCCTCGTTACTCGCACCGTTCATTGGGCTGACCAAGCACCTCAATGCCCCCACGAGGTAGGATCATGTTATCACCACTGCAAATGAGGCCCAAAAGAGCAGGATCACTCATCTCTGTGGCAACACACAGCACTAAAACTAAACACTACAGATGTGGGGGTTTTCCACCTTGCAGTCTAGTGGAAATCTTTGTTCTTTTCTCCTCTTCTTTGAGTTCTGAACACACAGCTACAGCTACAAAATGCACTATGTCTGAGTGATAGCTGAAAACTGAACTTGGATGTCTCATGTTTCAATCCAGTTCTTCAATATTGCACAGGTCAGACTGAGCTACAGATAAATGTGAAAAAGACCTTTTCGTAGTTGGTATATCCCCCCATGACCGCTGGGTCCACAATCCCATTCAGGAGCATAGAGAGAGGGTGTACAGGAAGGCTCCGGTCCCAGACATGCTGTTGGACAATGTTGCTGATTTTCTCATTGGTTAGCTCCATCGTTTCTATGGCGTTCTCCAAGGGACTGATCTCCTCCTGACGGAAAGAAGAAATAGAATAAACCTTCATTTGCCTCCACTGAATATGAAATTAAGTTACTCCTTGTGCAAGAATGGCAGCCCAATAGTTTCCAGCAGAGGATTTTGGACCCCTGTGCTAACTATCTTGCCATTCAGAGATGAATGCAAGAATGATCTTACACCTTAACCTAAAGGAACAACAGTTTAGGACTTGGCTGCTGTTGAGTATGTTACAGAAGTAACCACTCTCCCAAGCATTACACAGGCAACACAGGACTTTGCTGGCTTGGGTAGAGCTGTCTGCAGAATAGCATAAATAGACAAGCACATCCAAGAAGATACACATTTGCTTTTATCTGAAACAGAAGTTACTGGTGTGCCACATCCAACAGTGGAAGGACTAGCTATCCTAACGGCTGCAATACTTTACTTCATAAAAGATTGGAGGGGATGAGACGCAGCCCATATGCAGAACTCACCGTTGTAATCTGTTTGACCTCAAACCACTTGAGGATGCCTGGAAATGAATATGCTGTCTTGTAGGTTGTCCTTTCTATCCACATATTCTGGTCAGAGAAGAAAAAAAAATATCCAAGATGTAAGGGAAATATTGTTCTTGCAATTCAGTTCTCTTCCGTGGTAGGGCATGGAACCAGGCTTCTAGCACCAGCTGGACCACTTAGACAATGATTTTCACCTTCACTAACCGCGATGGAACCCAGCAGTTTTGGCAAGAAATAAGACCTCTACTATTTAAATGGTATCAACGTTAGCAACAGTGGGCTGTTTTCCTCCATGTGGACCCCTACTAGCAGGACTGTGATTATGGCATATTTAGCCAGAGTTATAAGCAACATACCCAACCTTTCCATGAGCAATAGTATGCCTCAAAGGCAGCAAGGAAACATGCTATTATATGATACCCAAGGCTCATTCTCCACAGCAAATCTTAAACGTTGGCCTGAAGTTGAACTGATCCTTCATGGTTAGACACTGGCGTCCTTAAGGACAGCTACAACATTCACAATCTACCAGACAACACAGGTGTACTCTGTAGGAAGCAGCAGTTAGCACAATATTTATGGATTCTAGATCAAGGACTTTGAACGTTACAACTTCAGCTAGAGCTCCTTGACATTATCACATCGGCTTTATGTAAAGATTGCAATGCAAAGTGCAGCCCTTTGTTTCTCCTACATTTTAATAGCAAAACTCCACTACCACAGGTGGAGGGGAAAAAAATTGTGACAGTATAATTCAAAATGCCACTAACAAAATAAATGCATGCATAGAACCATCTTCTCATAGCACAGACACCCAAGCCAACTGGCATCAAAACAAAGGACTCACAGCAAACTCATTGTCTGGATCTTTTTGTCCTTTCCTGACTGGTCGGGAGTGTGTGAACTGCTGCACCTCGTTTGCTCTGTAATAGCTAGAAAGAAGCAAAGTAAATGGTTAGTCTTCTCACCTCCCATTCTCCTTAAATAGATATTCTTCTGTTCCCTCTCAAAAAGGACCAAGTTTAAACTGGACTGTGAAACAAATATGCGCAAGACACAAAGGCACTTCAACCTGTGCCTAGGCTAGGTGAGAAAAAGTACAGAGAAATTGTTGAGGGAAAAGGAAAAAGAAATTACTTTAAGATCTGTTCAGGAACAGGTTTATCTTTATAATTAGGTGGCAGGTTCATCACAGGCTTCACAATAAAGCACTGCACATCTGAGTAGCTATAGTTAAGGATGAAAAACTATGAATCCTATTGGGAAAATAGAAGAGGGAGAGAAATACTCTTCCTGTTTTCATCAAATGTCAGACTTCTCAACAATTCCCTGTGCTCTTGTCATGTTTGAAGAAAAATACTTAGTAGTTCATCAACAACCACAGGCATTTTATTGCTTCTTGTAGTTTGTATGCTACTCATGAACTAAAAGCCCAAAAAGATAAGGGCTGTACTAATACTTCCAACTATTGAAATTCCCTGGAGAAACGCTTGGAAAGCCTGGGTGCTACCGATTTCTACTTTGGGGACAGGAATACAAGATTCTGTACTAGGTTCTGTAATGGATGCACCTCTCTCTTCTCTCTTCCCCACCACCCCACAGTTATTTGTCAGATTCTCCAGCACAGTGAAGCTGCCCCTCCTTCCCTCCCACTTTTTAGATCAATAAAGCTAACTGAAGAAAGTAGGCTGGTTTTAATCAGTGAATATATACTTGATCTTCAGCTTTTGCACCTGCGAACAATGATAGAAATTATGAAAAAAAAATTAGTAATAGCATCCCCAAGCACAGCAGCTTACAATGTTGCTCCTCCAGAGTTCTGTTTTAAGGACTGTATTGAAGGCTTTACAGAAGTAAAAACCTGTATGGAGAAGTAAAGCATAAATCAATTTGACCCACATTAATAGATTATTTCTGCGAATTGCCTGCCCACTGCACTCTGAAGTGGCAATGTTTTACTGGTGGGTACGGCAGCCCCATACATCCTTTATTTCACTGAGGGTAGATCTAAACAGTATTTTGAAAGCAAAGGCAAGGTCATTCTGCCTACACTGAAGAGCCAGCTGGATACTAGCCAAATCTGAACCCAAAACCGCATAGCCACATTAGATCTAGCACTGAGCCCAAGCTAATATATTCTTTCTCTCAGGAGAGCTTATTAGCTTGGGCTTCATGCCATGCTAAGCACGCTATACAGCTTCCAGTTCAGAACTGGGAGAAGACTAGCCTGTTTAAGTGTGTAGGCATTCCCTGAGACTGTGTACAGCTCACTTGGTATCTCCAGTACACTCTTATGAAACAACCAAGGGAAGAATAAGGCATTTTATCATAAAAGAGTGAGGAAACAGATTCTAAGCAAAAATTTAAGAAAGCGCCTGAGACAAAGGAGGTTAAAAAAGCATGAAATTAAAAGAAACTACAGAACCATCAGCCTCTGCCTAACACAACAGTAATCTGGGCACTCAAACTCTTCATCTTTTCAGAAGGTGTTCGTAAGAGTCCGAGAAGAACCTGTACCAAATCCAAGCTATGCAGCTGCTCCCCTTTATAATGAGGCTATGCCAAAGACCCGGAACCAAACACCCCCAAACTTTTGGAAGAGTTCAGATCTGGATCCAAATTTTGCAGTTCAGGTTCATCTTGAGCCAAAAACATTAGAACAAACACAAACAGATGCAAAGGAAGTAGCTGAAACAAAGCAGCAATAGAGGCATTTTTTGATACCAAGTTTGGTCTTGAATGAATTTTAATTTCCTATGTGGATTTAGTGCTTGGCAGGCTTATTGCAAGGGAAGCATCTGGTATCACTGCTTGAGTCGTGCCTTTGTACACAGATTCTTAAGGCCAAAATGGACCATCAGATTCTCTAGTCTAGCCTGTATTACACAGGGCAGAAGCCCAGTAACTTGTTTTTTACTGATGTACATCTTCCAGGAGCACAACTGCTATGGACTGGAAGTCACAAAAAGACTCTGGAACATCTTCGCTAGGTTGCACTTGGTCATGCTCACAATTAAGAGAAAGAGGATCTTAAGCCTAGTGGTGTGCTGTGGCACACAGTTTGGAGTTCCAGCATAAGAAAAAAAAAAAAGCGCCGTTCACCCAACAACCTTCATCAACATAATCACTTCACACTTCTTACAAAATGACTTCAAGGGCGGAAAAAAAGAGAAACAAAACAAAAAGCCAGCCACTACATAAATGCTAGTTAACTGCAAGCAAGAAGAGAGCGTACTTCCACTTCCTTTATAGCCCACTTTCATGACCTGTATTTTACCTCTTTCACCCAGAAATATCAAACTGGACCACACTGATACTACAGCAGTCAGCACCTCCTGCCTGAGAAGGCGGCACAAGAAATCCTGACCTGCAGTCTGTTAAGGTTTCATCCTAGCAGCAACTCGTTTAACTCTGACAGTATCAAGTTGTCTCTCTTTTTCAGTATGTTTCAGTTCACTATTGCAATTCTGGATAGTCTTATTTTCATGCCCAGTGCCTGCCTTCGAAGCTCCCCAGGAGCAGTAGGTTCCTTGCTTATTGTTGTTGTTTACAAATTCTGTTATTCTAGGAAAAAGGCAGATCTTGAATGTGCCAAAACATATTAGAACCAAAAGATACACTGTTTAGGAGAAGTCTTGATCTCTTCCCCTGGAGCAGCAGTGCTGGTCATCTTCTCAGCACTAGGAAACTGGGTCAATAGCTTCAGGTTGAAGTCCTCCCTTCGTTCATACTCCTTGCCACGGTAGATGAAGATTTTATTCTGTGGGTAGGAGAAGAAAAAGAGAATTAACACTAAACAAAGCAATTTGGAAAGAGCTTTCCAAACATACACAGAGTAGTCTCAGAGATCTAGTTTATCTGAAGGGCTGTCTCCGAGCTTAATGGACAGTCAGAACACATGGGAGAAGAAACACCAGCTGGAGTAAGAACACAGCAACTCTCAGGAGCAAGGCCCTGCAATGGCAACTTCATATTTGTCTAGAAAATTCATTGTTCCACATACAAGTGTTATTGACCATGTGCTTTCTAGCACTCTAAGAACTCACACATTCAACACATGAAATCTCAATCTGGTGACTGATTTTAAGTAAGACATGTGTGCCAAAAAGTTCTTTACTGCACGGAACTGCACACTCCTTGCCAGACCACTTACGGTATGAGTTAAGCGAGGAATCTCCCTGTGCACAAAGACATTCCTGGATTCTCTTCAGCTACCATTAACAAAATGGCCAGCTATGACAGTTTTGCACTACAGACTTAACAGTAGACCATGGCCAATTATTTTTCCAAACTGATCACCAAGCAGTGGTGGTTTCTGGAAAGGATGGATTCAAGAACACGACCTGGAGGTGAAAGCCTTCTATGCCATCCTGTTACGCCGTTCTAAGTTAACATTCTTTTTTTTTTTTTTTTTATTAAGCTTGGTTTCCATTTAAGGCCAGCAACTTCAAACAACTCCAGTCTGAAAAGGTAAATGTTCCTAAATTTTAAATAATAGTCAGGAATATTTTCTAGTATGCTGCACCCTGCCCATCTGACTCACTTTGGCTAGATTCTTGTATTATAGCTAGCACAAATCCAGCAATGCTTAGCAGCCATCTCAAACAGGAAGCAACTTTGCATTTTAATTCTTCTGCGTGGGACAGACTCTCACTAATGTGTTTGAGCACTGAAATGATCCATGTCCTGAAAATTAGGTTGATTGAGGCTGAAAAGCAACTGGATAAATTCTTTACAAGCTAAACATTTTCTAACAGCAACAATCATATTTCTGAGGAAGTGTACAGGGCACAAATACAAAAGGTAGAATCTGTTTAAGTCCATATAAGAACATACCAATCATCTAACAAACCCTATTGCAACACACTAACTTTACTGAAGCTGGTAACACAAAAAATCTGGTCTCTTACTTATCTCTTTTTATAGGCTGAAGTGCTTTGAAATACTTAAGGGATTTACATCTCTCGGTGTCATTCAAAGGAAAAGGAGTTTGGCATCTGAATTTTCTTGGAAACTCTGCAAAAGTTGTGACTTTTAGGGTACCCACCACTCCAGAACTTGAGTGCTGAAGAACTCTTACCCGGAGGAAAGAAGGGAAACCCTGACCATAGTATCCAACAGCAAAGTACTCTGGTTGAGGTCTCATTGCCTTCATAATATTCTCATAAAACGTAGCTTGTTTCTTCTGAAAAAGAAAAAGTCACCAGCATTTTCACTTTGGAGTGAAAAGGCACTGACAGACTGTAGCTCACATTCCCAGTGACAATTCCTGATCTATTAGTTCACCCCTGCAGAATACTTTTTTTGATTGAAAATTGTTTTTTTGATACAGTCTCTCATACTAATCCATTTACTTGGTTAAATATTTGGTTTGTTTGGGCCAGAATCAACTTCATTTCCTGGTTTGCAGGCATGAGAACAATGCCATGGTTTTTAGGATTCCAGAAGGATACTTGAAATGCTTAACTACTGCAACACAAATTAAAAATAAATATGTTCTGAAACTAAGCAGACACAAATGGTGACAAATGTCAGAGAACTGGCAGAAATAAAACTGGGCAGATGATTCTCATATGAAAGAACATAAAGACCATCTGGTTACATCTTTAACCACTAAAAAACATATTTCAGACCAGAATGATTCTATAGTTCTGTGTTCATACACAGTAGTTTTACCACAGAAATAATAAGGTGATGAGATTTATGGAGCCTAAAAATATATCATGCAAGTTACTTTATTTGATTAACACCAAGAACGTTAAACATCTGCACATGGTATTGTCATGCTAATTACAAGGTCAAAACCACACACTTTAAAAAACTGTGAAAACATTCTTCTAATATTAAGCTTTACAAAACCACAGAGGGTATTGTTGTTCTGTTTGTCTTTAACATTCATGTATTTTGGGCTTATTCTGCTCAACAATATTAATTTAAGCAGTCGGCAGCCTGCTGA